CCATCACCCTAACATTCCCCCATGACTACATTAATTACGTCTACCATCGCCTACTCCCACCATTGTTGGAAACGTCCCCCAGTATCTGTTTGACACTAAACGCATCATCACCCGCTCACAGCGCAAACAGTATAAATATGATATACATCGACCCTTCATGCGTTTGAATATTGACCTAGCACAGCATCCTACTCGGCCACTTGAACATGTATAGGACTGGTAGCGACCTACCAGTGTCAGTAACCAAAAAATACCCTCAGCGCACCCGCCCGCAGTCCTTCCTGCGCATACAAATTTACTAACCGCAAAAGCCAATTCTGCAAGATGCGTATCCACAGAATCAAAATCCATTGTAAAATTGACACGCCAAGCACAACTAGAAACTCTCCCATCTTCAGAATTACTCACGCCCTATCCAAAATCACAGCCAAGATTACAGGGCTCATCAGCGAAACCGGCACACCTGCTCGAGATATGTCTTACTCACATTGTTACCGTACATGCCCATCACACATCAGGCTATTTGGTCACTTGCAAAGCATCGCGCGGAAACCGCTGAACCCATGTCTACAGTATGCATTCAATGATCATACCCGTTTTACTGGCTCATATACAATCAGTCGCAATACAAGCCTACTGATCCGCATGCGCATCCATGAAACTCAACTTCATATAATTCCTCTCTAGCGCATGCAATATACACGAACACTTTCTTCATCACCCACCACACCTATGGAATAGGCGCCTCTCCTCCAACTGAGTATACTGCTCTTTGACTTGCTCTGCATGCGGCGTCTAGAAAATGCTCACGCATAAGACGTTCCAAACGCCCACACCTATTATAATATTGCTTTTCTGTGTAAGCCGCCAAATGTTATCTGTGTCGCGCGCGGACGAGCCATCTATCTCTGTCATCCACAGAGACCGATCTCACTGCATGCGCTTTAATATAAATCGGTTACCGTTACAAGCACAGAGCATTAGAGACCGTGATATATCAAGTTTCCAACGGACTAGACATGGTATAGTGTGCAGTTTTGTGCAATAACCGACTGGAGGATGGAGAATCAGATATCAATTACGCCTTCTGTGGCATCCCCACCAATTTTAAGTAAGAGCAATTCCCTTGTTTTGTGAGTGATGTGGTGGTCCAGTTTGCGTGCGCCAGAGTGTGTGTTCATGTGTTTAAGTGGTGATTCGCGCATTGGCAGTCACCTGCATCCAAACCCGCCTCCCGTCTTCTTGATTCTATCATATTAATGGCCCAAATGGATGAGGAGGTGAGATTGGGTGAAGGCTTTGAAAGTCGACTATAGCATTAAAATAACTCACGCGAAAGTGGCCGTCCACGGGCCCATAAATCTGTGAAACTTACGGACCATACATTCAACAACGACGGTTAGACTCTCATAAGCCTTCGAAGGTGACTTGCCTGAATTTGTTTTTTATCTCATGGCTATTTGTGTTCATGCGTATCTTTGTGCTATTCTGTTAGTTAGAAATGGTTCAGTAACATGTTCCTACATTGAACAACGGCCCAACGTTCCTGGGTTATCTAGATCGAAGATTTCCTTTAAATCTTTCGTCTGAGTGCGCCATGTCAGTCAGTTTCCGCATATTATCTTACTGTGTTCTTGTATTCATGAACTACTTGTTTGACAACTACATCCATTGGACGATCCTGGCCAATATGAACTTCCAGCTCGATCAACAATATCGCCAAAAATTGTCTTTTAATAATGGGAAACGCAATTCTTTCGTTGCTTGCATGCCGCTCTTCATGAGGTTTCAAATTTAAAATATGAATTTGACGAATAGCGTTGCAGTGTGATCAACGAATTCCCTTCACTTTTTGACAAACGCACGATCTAAAGAAATTGACAGTTATCCATCTATTTACACATGTTAAACGTGTTACTTTCTGGTAGAACAGTATTTCCATGACTATTTCCGGCTGCTTATTTCCAAAGGTGGCCGGATTACTTAGTATATCACAGCCTCTTAATCATTATTGCGGTTATTAAGGTCGTTAAAAGTAAAGGCATTTCACTTCCGTTTAGCAAATATGACACGGCGTTTGGCAGTCAATATGCAAATGCAAGTCCTAACCCCCAGTTGTTCTTAGTATAAATAATTATAGATGAAAATTATACCTCCAGTGTTGCCGTGATGCAGGCAACATAGACGGCAATCTCCTCTCCCAGGCTTTTCCCCTCCAATATGAACTACCGTTAGTTAGCGCTTCCAATAGTTTATAGAAGTTCATTTTCTATCAAAGAGATAATAAGTGTTCTGTGAGATCGTCAACGCCAGTTTCAAATTCACTCAGTCTATTGTATATGAAAATGTCGGTCACAGGATGTGCATTATGCTTTTCACGATATTACCCTAAATTGTTCGGCTGTTTTCATCTAGTTTCTTTCTGGAGTTCCTTTACTGTGCCTTTCTAGTATTTCGGAGTTCAGCTAAAACACACTCGTAGGTCTGGAAGGCGTAATTGCTTATATTTCTTTTAAATGACGGTCTTAAGCAATTTCGAGGGTAAGAAATCATGCCTCTTCTGGATGAAACCCTTGTGCGCAGCGACACATAAACCAACCCGAACGACAACGTTGGAATTTTTTGGAATTAACTGACGTCTTTCTCGACCCCTTCGTTTGCAATCGATGAACTTGACTCAGGAGCTCATTTATAACGATATGGAGTTTTCTACCGAGATATCTGCTTGGTAATTGAAACTAACTTGTATTTAGTGCAGCTGAGATAATGACTGATCGAGCCGGCATCGATGGTGTCACACACTGTACCTCTCAAAGCGTGACGATTTGCGGCAGTGGATCTAGACTGTTCAACCCATCCTCCTCTCCAACGACTGAAGGCCGAGGGTCCAAGGACCGCGAACGGTATCAAACACTCCGGTTTGTTGATAGAGCTTTGACATTCGGAATGATGTTTTTCTGGCTGACTATTTTCGGGAATACCAATATAATCTATAAGTTATTATGGATGCGGCTGAAATTACGTAGTTTTCCGTCTCGGTTCCCATAATAGATGCTTTCCTGCAATTTTAACCCCAGTAATTGTCCAGTCAACTGCACAGTACACATATATCGAAGATTTATGCGAAACAAAGTCGAGGATGACTAAAAAAGTGCAAGAAGACTGTTCAATCACTGCAATCATGTCCTTCGTCATCGGAGCCTTTAAACTCTTGCTGGAGTTTATTGTCATCGAAAAACTGCAACAGTTATAGGGGGCAGGGAGCAATCGAACTTGAGTGCTGCCACTCTCAAGGTGGCTGCGCGGGCTGTGCCACCATTAGATCGATTGAATGAATCCACATCGCAAGTCCAGGCGTTAGTCGATTCGCGGCTTGTATTGCTTTTATTGTGGGTGACTAGATTTTAGCGATCAAATACACTTTTGTCCTCATTAGTCATATATGGAGCTAAAATGCTAAAATTCGCCTCAATAACGGGAAGTTTCTATCTCGCAGAAACTCATGTCTGATCGCTGAGTATCTCATATAAATCCTTTATATTTTCGAGGAATAGTCACACTTCCTAAAGAAAGCTTGTCTTTGGTTTTAATAGGAAGGAACTACTCAAATCTATGCAGTGAAGCTACCACAATAGACCCTATTTAGTTAATAACTACGGTCATTCGTTAATACCGTAATTTCGTCATTATTAGTGTAGCAAGTCGCTGTATTTGACCTCAGCCTCTGGAAAAGATAACAGATTTGCTTCCTCAGATCGTCATGGAGGGAAAGACACAATCATCGATGTCGACTAGATCATGCATTATCACAACTGTGCAAATTACCAGCATCTGTTTAATGGCGAAAGTAAGCCTGTGAACACAAGCAACAGAAAATATCCCTTCGTCGATTGGTAACGTTAACTTACCAAACACTATGGATGGACGGTGACTGCAATTCCGTTGATGTACGTAGTTAAAAAGTCAAATAAGTAATTGTTAAACGGCGCCACCCTATATCTATATTACCTGCGACTAGGAACAAGACGCAAATCTTCACTTAAATCAATTTCGCCCTGAAAAGGAAACTGTAACTGGAAATAACGGCTCTAAAGTGAGATAGTGGCAAAAACCGAATCACCTACAAGTTAGTCGCACATGTATCGATTAGGAGTAGACTGCAATAATGATTCGCACGCTGCGTACGAACCAATCAGGAATCCTTGTGAAACGCAGATTTTGTAAGCCTGCTCAACATCGGGAAAAGTGAATGAAGCAAATGAAAATCTGGGCAACTTATTTAAGTTCAACAGCACGACATTGTAAATAACTGTCTGACGTCTACAAATTTCAGTCCGCGAGGTACGTATTACAAGCAGATAGGTTTTAAACAGATTGGAATGCCAAAGTCATCCTTGAGTACAAGGAAAATTCGAAAATAAACAAGGTGTATGATTAAAAAATGCATATAAAATGCGTAAAATTGGCCATAATCACGACAGACCACGATGAAAGAGGGTTATTTTCGTGGAAACCGAAAGATTGATTTTCGCCGTAGACAACAGGGAAGGAATCAAAATAAGCTAGTTGTTCGGTAAAGGATAAAAGAAAATCGGAGGTAGGAATGATAAAAAAAACTAAGAGTTGGAAGGAGCGGCGGGAGAGGTGGCGTCTGACGGTCCCGGTTTGGGGGCCACGTCGGATGAGTAGTGTTCGTACTTAAAAATCACACTGAACAAGTTTCCGCCCAGATGACCTGCCAACCACGAGTTCTTAATGACAGCAATCTTAAGGCAGTCAACACAAAATCTGGCGTAAAGATTGGTATGCACTGCACGGCCCATGCCCTCGAGCAAAATCAAATCAACCTGCCGACAGAAAAAAAGGAAGATGAATTAATACAATTGAGGCAAACTTGGACCTCAATATCTCACACACTAAGGCATTGAAGACAGTCGCTTTTCACACATGTTAACGTTAAGTTAATAAACCGTGTCTACTGAAAGGAAGTGAGTAGAAAGCGTTACCTGTTCGTCATTCACCAACTTCACCAGTTTCTGCGAGACGCGACGAAGGTCCAGGCAGGGCGAATTCTGCCCATTGTCCACGCAGATTAATCTGCGTGAGCTTAGAGCTTTAGCCAAGCGCTCATCTAGCGCAGCCACTTGATTCATGAGGAATAACAGCTCTGGATAGGTGACGTCATTAATTGCTGGATCTAGAAGCAGAAAGAGTGGACTGTTGACTCTTCAGCACAATGGGCCGTTTAGATGTAAGGAGACACCAGGTATCAGGAAAATTGAAATAGACAAAATACCAAGATCGCATTTGAATATGAAACAAATGTTCGCAAAATCTGAATTAATCATGGTGTAAGCCTGTCTGAATTTGCCTAGTAGCGTCGCCGAAAACGAGGCAGGGAAGTTTACGCTAGTTCCTGCGTGGCAGATAATAGCATGATAGTGATTACTAAAGGTAGAACACTTTATAACCAATGTGAAGGCCTTGGAAATACACACTTAACAAATACAACCGCCGAGTGAATCGGCGCGAAATGAGCAGTGTAGTGCTCACATATGCCTGCCTTCGATAGGACGGGATAGTGCTTTCTCGTGAAACAGTCATCTGCCTACTGTAAGAGGAAGAATGAGGAGGAGGAAAAACAGACACAGCGAAGCCGCAAAGAGTGGAACTAACCGGAGTTGGCAGTAAGAATTACTTTGCAACCCCAGTCGAGGCACTCGACGGCGAAAGGCAGGACCCCAAGGATAAGGTCGGCGCCACTGTTGTCGCAGAAGATGAGGACACAGTGGGGACGCTTCTCGGGCACAGCGATTCGCTGTATCCATCGGTCAAAGTCGTCCATCAACCAGGGACGTGGCTTTAAATGACAAAAGCGTAGGTGATTTGGGAGACAGTTAAACTAACTTCGAAGTACATAATTCGACAAGCCATTTTCTTCATCTCTGAAAAAAGAGAGCGCTAGTAAATGCCGAAGTTCTGCAAGGTACAGTTAAAGTTCGCACACAAAGTAGAAGCAAATTTTCAACTAACTACATTCACAAATTCCTCACGCAAAGCTCGTGCTTGCAAAAAAAAACAAATATTAGGAGTTAGCTCGCGGGCTATATTATGGTTAGAAGTCTTATTTACGAACTGTTGGTTTAACTACACAAGGGCATCTACGTGAGAAAACGGTTAAAATAAGGCACATCAACTGATGGACGGCATACTTATTTTGTGTACGCAAAAGCAGAAAATTTATAAGCGACCAAGCCACCGGAAATCAGTTTTAGACTAGCGAAGTTTTTTCAACAAACGTTCATCGAATAATGGTACTTACTTGATCATGGATGTTAAGCAAATCGGTAAGTGTCGAAAGATAATTCGACTGTGGCAGCCCGTGATCAGCTTGACTCATCTTGCCTTTGCTTGCCAGGTCCTGCCAGTCGCGCGTGAAAATCTCCCTCCACGCTCCTAATCTATTTGCTGCGGAAGGCGCACGAAAGTGCGAAGTTAAACAGTGTGCACTATTTCACTGATTTGCTGCAGCCGACAGAGGACATGTCCCGGAGTCCAGTGATCGCGCTGGTGGACACATACAACAACAGCTTGCCTAAAGGCACGGCTAGCAGCTAGGACATAGTAGAGCCCTCTGTAAAGCTCCTTTCTCCGAGTAAAAATATGGGCCAAACTGCTCTGTCTTCTGAGTTGGAAAACATTTATTTTATCGACAACTGGGATCACGTCGGGGTCACCAATGTCAAACGTTACGAAGTTGACAACATAAGTTTTGTCAAATCATAAGTCATAGAAGACCGA